CTCTCTTCTTCTGGCATAACAATCCTCCGTCCTCCTTGACTCTAAAAAAACGCCAACTTCCAAACTCCTTTTTTTTGCTTTTACTCATCTCCCTAGCTATACCATTCTGGCTCCTACCGCCTTGCCACGGGGCTTTGTAGATGCTAAAGTTGCCACTGAGAAGCTGGTCGCCGCCATCAATCTCGATGAGGGCGAGCACAAGTTTGGCCACACTAAGGTAACCTTTTCTGGTACTTCAGCACTAACTCGCTTTTTAACCAGTCGGCCCGTTTGATGCCCGTTTGATTTTGAAACTAACCTTGTCGGTTTGCCGCTTTTTGATTGCTTGTGTTGTTATTTGAATGCTTTCCTATCCTTTCCTCCCTTCCTTCCTTTTCACTCTCTTCCTCTCCTCTCCCACCTTTCCCTCTCTCCCCCTTTTCTTATCAACAAAAATCCTAATTTCGCCTTCTTTCACTTTACCATCGGTCGAGTAGATCTTCTTCCGCGCCGGTGTGCTGGGTCGTCTGGAGGAGATGCGCGATGAGCGCCTGGCGAAGATCATCACCTGGGTGCAGTCCTGGATTCGCTGGTACTTCGTCAAGAAGACCTTCAAGAAGCTGCAGGACCAGCGCATCGCCCTGCTGGTCATCCAGCGCAACCTGCGCAAGTTCCTCACGCTGCGCAACTGGCTCTGGTGGAAGCTGTACTCGAAGGTGAAGCCGCTGCTCAATGTGGCCCGCGTCGAGGACGAGCTGAAGGCGCTGGAGGAGAAGCTGAAGAAGGAGCACGAGGCCTTTGAGAAGGAGGAGAAGCTGCGCAAGGAGCTGGAGGTGCAGAACGTCAAGCTGCTCCAGGAGAAGAACGACCTCTACCTGCAGCTCGAGTCGGAGCGCTCCAGCAGCGGCGACGTCGAGGAGCGCCTGATGAAGGCCATCTCGCAGAAGAACGACCTCGAGAGTCAGCTCACTGTGCGTCGAACTCATTCACTTACTTTTTTTGTCAACACACTTGCTAACTTCTTTTCTCCCCCTCCCCCGTTAGGACTTGCAAGACCGCCTCTCCCACGAGGAGGACGCCCACGCCTCGCTGAACTCCTCGAAGAAGAAGCTCGAGGGTGAGATCTCCAACCAGAAGAAGGAGATCGAGGACCTGGAGCTGGCGCTGCAGAAGGCCGAGCAGGACAAGTCCTCGAAGGACCACCAGATCCGCAACCTGAACGACGAGATCGCCCACCAGGATGAGCTGATCAACAAGCTGAACAAGGAGAAGAAGAACCTGCAGGAGATCAGCCAGAAGACGGCGGAGGACCTGCAGGCCACTGAGGACAAGGTGAACCACCTGAACAAGGTCAAGTCGAAGCTGGAGCAGACGCTGGACGAGCTGGAGGACAGTCTGGAGCGCGAGAAGAAGCAGCGCGCCGAGATTGAGAAGAACAAGCGCAAGGTGGAGGGCGACCTGAAGCTGGCGCAGGAGGCGGTGGCCGACCTGGAGAAGAACAAGAAGGAGCAGGAGCAGAACCTGCAGCGCAAGGAGAAGGAGCTCCAGGCGCTCGCCTCCAAGCTGGAGGACGAGCAGGCGCTGGTGGCGAAGCTGCAGAAGCAGATCAAGGAGCTGCAGGCGCGCATCGAGGAGCTCGAGGAGGAGCTCGAGGCTGAGCGCCAGGCGCGCGCCAAGGCGGAGAAGCAGCGCGCCGATCTGGCCCGCGAGATTGAGGAGCTCAGCGAGCGGCTGGAGGAGGCCGGCGGCGCCACCTCCGCTCAGGTGGAGCTCAACAAGCGCCGCGAGGCGGAGATGAGCAAGCTGCGACGAGACCTCGAGGAGGCGAACATCAACCACGAGCAGACGATGTCGGCGCTGCGCAAGAAGGGCAACGACACCGTCACCGAGCTCAGCGAACAGGTGGACCAGCTGAACAAGGCCAAGCAGCGGTAAGTGACCACCACTTTTTATTGTCTTTCTATTGTGTGCCCGCATGAATAATGCTTTCTTACACTACTTTTTGTTTGTGCATGTTGTACCGCTTCTAGCTTGCCTAACTTTACTTACTAGTTTAGTAGTTTGTTTGATTACTAACCGATGAAGACCTTTTGATCTAACCCTAATTTAGATAGTTTGATAACGTTTTGTGTGTGTTTTTGTTTGTTGTGTTTTTGGTGTGTTGTTTTTCAAACTTAACCAATCAACTGAAAACTAATTTTCATAGTTTGATTTTTAACTTTTAGTAGACCTTAACTTTTAGCTAANGTGTGTTTTTGTTTGCTGTGTTTTTGGTGTGTTGTTTTTCAAACTTAACCAATCAACTGAAAACTAATTTTCATAGTTTGATTTTTAACTTTTAGTAGACCTTAACTTTTAGCTAATTTTTTTTCTAGAAACACTTTAACTTTCTAGTTTTTTGGTGTGCAGTGTGTAGAGATTAGAAAAAACACTTTATGACCAAAACTACAATACAACTTTGATTTGTCCCTTCTCCCCCTTTATCCCCGAAACATTCAAATCACACAATAGACTTGAGAAGGAAAAGCAACAGATCAAGTCTGAGTTTGATGACCTTAAGGCCAGCGTTGACCACCTCGCTAAGGACAAGGTAAATGTCGAGTAGTAGTTGTAGAGTTGTAGGTAGTAGTAGTAGATGGGTACTTCAACGTCATCGTTCGACACACAGACAGAATTAGTGATAGGTTCAGGTTTAGGGTGTTTAGGGTTCAGGTTTACAGGAAGGTTTAGGAAAGAAGGTGTCAAGGTAAGTGGTGGTGGTTGGAAATCATCGAACCAACCACTTTTTTTGCATCCATTTTCTTTCTTTCTTTTCTTTGCGGAATGGCTTCAAACTTGCTCGCCCTTTGCCCGAGAACATNATGTTTAGGGTTCAGGTTTACAGGAAGGTTTAGGAAGGAAGGTGTCAAGGTAAGTGGTGGTGGTTGGTAATCATCAGACCAACCACTTTTTTGCATCCGTTTTCTTTCTTTTTTCTTTGCGGAATGGCTTCAAACTTGCTCGCCCTTTGCCCGAGAACATAGTCCTAACTGACACTTGTTGTACCCCCTTGTTGTATCCTTTTGTTTTGTTGATGACACAATACAACTCAGACTCGAGAAGGAGAAGGCCACACTGGCTGCTGAAGTCTCCGACCTGCAAGGAATTGTTGACCATGCCACAAAGAATCAGGTAACCAAATCGCGCAACGGCGTTTTTCTACTTCTTTTTCTTTTTACCTGGGAGGGAACATTTCAATTCTCTAAAATGGGATAAAAACAGTTCAGCTCAATTGAACGATGATGATGACGGTTGAAAAACTACGATGATGATTAGCTCTGTTCCACTCTCTGACTGAAACAAAAAATTCCACCTCAACTAACACCTTTCTCTTGAACTTGACCAGGCCAACACCGAGAAGCAGANGCAAGGAATTGTTGACCATGCCACAAAGAATCAGGTAACCAAATCGCGCAACGGCGTTTTTCTACTTCTTTTTCTTTTTACCTGGGAGGGAACATTTCAATTCTCTAAAATGGGATAAAAACAGTTCAGCTCAATTGAACGATGATGATGACGGTTGAAAAACTACGATGATGATTAGCTCTGTTCCACTCTCTGACTGAAACAAAAAATTCCACCTCAACTAACACCTTTCTCTTGAACTTGACCAGGCCAACACCGAGAAGCAGAACAAGCAGATGGAGATGCAGCTGTCCGAGGTGACGGGCAAGCTGGACGAGACGAACCGCACCTTGGGCGACTTTGACGCCTCCAAGAAGAAGCTCGCCGCGGAGAACGCCGAGCTCCAGCGCCAGCTGGAGGAGGCCGAGTCGCAGGTGAACCAGCTGACCAAGCTCAAGAGCTCGCTCCAGACGCAGCTCGAGGAGGCTAAGCGCACCGCCGACGAGGAGAGCCGAGTAAGTTTCGAAAATAGAGTTTGCTCAGCACAAATTACTAACAATTTCCTCCATTTGCCCAGGAACGCGCCTCGATCCTGGGCAAATTCCGCAACCTGGAGCACGACCTNAACAAGCAGATGGAGATGCAGCTGTCCGAGGTGACGGGCAAGCTGGACGAGACGAACCGCACCTTGGGCGACTTTGACGCCTCCAAGAAGAAGCTCGCCGCGGAGAACGCCGAGCTCCAGCGCCAGCTGGAGGAGGCCGAGTCGCAGGTGAACCAGCTGACCAAGCTCAAGAGCTCGCTCCAGACGCAGCTCGAGGAGGCTAAGCGCACCGCCGACGAGGAGAGCCGAGTAAGTTTCGAAAATAGAGTTTGCTCAGCACAAATTACTAACAATTTCCTCCATTTGCCCAGGAACGCGCCTCGATCCTGGGCAAATTCCGCAACCTGGAGCACGACCTGGACGGCGCCCGAGAGGCCCTCGAGGAGGAGGTCGAGTCGAAGGCGGACATGCAGCGACAGCTGGCCAAGGCCAACGCTGAGATCCAGCAGTGGCGCACCAAGTTCGAGAGCGAGGGACTGGCCCGCCTGGAGGAGCTGGAGGAGGCGAAGAAGAAACTGGGCGTGAAGCTGCAGGAGGCCGATGAGCACATCGAACAGCTGAACGGCAAGTTGAGCGGCCTGGAGAAGACGAAGCAGCGTCTGAGCGGCGAAATTGAGGACATGTCAATTGAGGTGGAGCGAGCGAATGCGCTGGCCGCCACGCTGGAGAAGAAGCAGAAGACCTTCGACAAGGTCATCTCCGAGTGGAAGCAGAAGACGGACGACCTGACGGCGGAGCTGGACGCCTCGCAGAAGGAGTGCCGCAACTACTCCACCGAGCTCTTCAAGCTGCGCGCCGCCTTCGAGGAGAGCCAGGAGCAGTACGAGGGCGTGAAGCGCGAGAACAAGAACCTCCAGGATGAGATCAAGGACCTGCTGGACCAGCTGGGCGAGGGCGGCCGGTCGGTGCACGAGCTGGAGAAGTCGCGCAAGCGCCTGGAGATGGAGAAGGAGGAGCTGCAGGCGGCGCTGGAGGAGGCCGAGGCCGCTCTGGAGCAGGAGGAAAACAAGGTGCTGCGCGCCCAGCTGGAGCTGTCGCAGGTGCGCCAGGAGATCGACCGCCGGCTGCAGGAGAAGGAGGAGGAGTTCGAGAACACGCGCAAGAACCACCAGCGCGCCCTGGACAGCATGCAGGCCAGCCTGGAGGCGGAGTCGCGCGGCAAGGCCGAGGCGCTCCGAATGAAGAAGAAGCTGGAGAGCGACATCAACGAGCTGGAGATTGCCCTCGACCACGCGAACAAGGCCAACGCCGAGGCGCAGAAGAACATCAAGAAGTACCAGCAGACGCTGAAGGAGCTGCAGGCCGCCTACGAGGAGGAGCAGCGCGCCCGCGACGAGGCCCGCGAGCAGTACGCCATGGCGGAGCGCCGTTGCAATGCCCTGCAGGGTGAGCTCGAGGAGAGCCGCCAGCTGCTGGAGCAGGCCGACCGCGGCCGCCGCTCCGCCGAGGCCGAGCTGGCCGAGCTGCACGACACCGCCAATGAGCTGTCCGCGAACAACGCCTCCCTCTCGATGGCGAAGCGCAAGCTGGAGGGCGAGATGCAGGCGCTGCAGGCCGACCTCGACGAGATGCTGAACGAGGCGAAGCAGAGCGAGGAGAAGGCGAAGAAGGCGATGGTCGACGCGGCCCGGCTGGCCGACGAGCTCCGCGCCGAGCAGGAGCACGCCCAGCAGCAGGAGAAGCTGCGGAAGAACATGGAGCAGACGATCAAGGACCTGCAGGTGCGCCTGGAGGAGGCGGAGGCGGCGGCGCTGAAGGGCGGCAAGAAGACCATCCAGAAGCTGGAGCAGAAGGTGCGCGAGCTGGAGCAGGAGCTGGAGTCGGAGCAGCGCCGCCACGGCGACGCCAGCAAGAACCTGCGCAAGTCGGAGCGCCGCATCAAGGAGCTGCAGTTCCAGGCGGATGAGGACCGCAAGAACTACGAGCGCATCCAGGACCTGGTGGACAAGCTCCAGCAGAAGATCAAGACGTACAAGCGGCAGATTGAGGAGGCGGAGGAGATCGCCGCCCTCAACCTCGCCAAGTACCGCAAGGTGCAGCAGGAGCTGGAGGACGCCGAGGAGCGCGCCGACATGTCGGAGAACGCCCTCGCCAAGCTCCGTGCCCGAAACAGGAGTTCTGCTTCCGCCACGCGCGGCGTCAGCCCTGGCGTAAGTGTCCCAGTGTGGCTAGTGTGATAACAAATGATCAAGCATCGGTCAACTAACTTTCTCTTCTTTCTTTCTCTTCTTCCCCACAGCCAATGCAGAAGCCCCGACCAAAGGCACGAGCTGAGGACGAGTAAGCGGTCACCACCAACCACCACCACCACCACCACCAATTGCCTAGCTAGCCAACACCAATCCCTGATTCGTAAGCAGCCCCTCAGCAAACACCCACCGTCCTTTTCTTCATCTTGCATTTACTTTACTTATTACTATTTATTACTACAACTATTACAATTACAACTCTTTAATATTCTTTACTCTAGTGTGTGCCACCGAGCAATACTACTACTCATGTTCTAATTTATTATTCACTCTATTACTTCTACTACTATTGTATAACACACACACACACACACACACACTTTTCCGAATCACCTCTACCCATTTACCCGACGACGACGACGACGGCGATGGCCATCCACAGTGCGAAGTCAACCTTTGCCTGTCTGCCCTGTCTGAAAACTTCTGACCACTTCAGAGTGTCCTCCTCCTGCAGGTGTGTGCCTCTCCACACAGCAAAAAAGAAAATCAAGTAGCAGCACCACAAACTCCACACACACTCACATCTGCGGGCAGTGGCCTTCTGGGCAGTGGCTCAGCAGCACAACACTGGCAATGCTGGCTTCGACACCAAACACTTTACTTTCTACTTCAACAGTACCGCCGTCTGCTTCTAATCGTCAAGCTGAGCGAGTCTCTCCACCGACTCTTGCCTAGTCTCTATCTTATCTATCTATCTATCTATTATCTCTCTCTATCCTCTTACCCTCACTCTCTCTCTCTCTCTCTCTCATCAATCTAAATTAACCAACTCTTTCTCTCTTGTAACCATACCAAACAATAAAATTGTAATCTTCTTATATTATATCAATTCTTACCTCTCTCGGTGGCTGACAAGTAGTAATAAAAATCAGTGGTGAATCGAAAGCTATTATTCAATCTTGCGGGTAGTTTACGAAAAAACTTTAATAATGCAACAAATGAGATCAATACATAAGGCACCAAATTATATCAAACTTCTTGAAGTTCATCACCTCTATCACATTCATCAGAGGCATCTTTCAGTTTTTTGAGACAGTACACTTCGTCCGATGAGCGAATGTACGATTCAATTTCACTGTCGGAAATGTCTTCGTCCTCGTCATCACTTTCCGCTTTAATACTTGCTCGAATTCTCTTCACAGACATTTCAGGCACTTCAACGTCGTCATTTTTTCGCTTTTTAATTTCCTGTGTGTGGTAGTTCAATTGTGATTTATTGTAATTCCACAGGATGATCCTCTTCATTGCAATAATTTCTTTTATTTTCGAGCAAATCAAATTGGGATGGATGGTTTCGCTTGCGTGAAGAGGATTGCAGCGGTAAAAATCCCGCAGAATTTGCTGGTAAAATGTAGCTCGCTGAGAAATTATTGGCTTATGCTCAATTTTAACGCGCTTGCAAAACTCAGTGCAGCTCACTTGGTAGCGATCCACAGACAATGCTTTCCATGCAAAATAAAAGGCAGAGTAGATCACGTACACAGGATTGTAGCTCTGCACAAGCATAGCTTCTCGCCACATCCAGAGGAGATTGGTTGCGTAGTCGGCAATGGTTAGCTTTTCTTTGTCGTTGATGGTGAGCTTGAACAAGTGGTACGGTACAAGGACCTCGATATTTTTGGACTTATTTGGGTACAGATTGGGGTAGTGTTTTTCCAAACGCAAAAATACTGCTCCAAAATGGTCAAAGGCACAGTCCGAGTTGTTTAGAAGGTCATTGAGAGTAATTGGATGAAAATCGCGATTGGATACCACGTAAAGACAGGAAAGGGCAAGGCATAGTTTGGTATTGCTAAAGTCTTTCTTAAATGGCTGACTCATAGCAATCTCTTCAAAAAGACTTTTTGCAGTTTGTAACATTGAATAAGGAATGTTTAGGTTTTTGCCGACGTTTATAATAACATCAATTCCGTGCCTGACTGGGCTTGTCTTTCTCGGGATAAGTTTTGCAGTGTAGTATTTGAAGTAATCACCGACGCTTTTGTTCTTGACGGAAACTTTATTGACTGCAACGTTGTTATGATATTCGCCATGTCCTTGCTCAATTCTTACTGGAATCTCATTTACCACCGTTCCACAGTCAAAGCAAATTTCAATAGAATNTATAACATCAATTCCATGCCTGACTGGGCTTGTCTTTCTCGGGATAAGTTTTGCAGTGTAGTATTTGAAGTAATCACCGACGCTTTTGTTTTTGACTGAAACTTTATTGACTGCAACGTTGTTATGATATTCGCCATGTCCTTGCTCAATTCTTACTGGAATCTCATTTACCACCGTTCCACAGTCAAAGCAAATTTCAATAGAATTTTCAATGCCTGTGTTGACCGAGCAACAATCCGGGCACTTCATGATAGACGAGTTGACTTTGTTCTGGATAAAAAAGTACTTTAGTAACAATGACAATTGCAAATGACAACTTACGGTCGCAGTCAAATATCACCACTTGGATTTTAAAACGGTGATTGTTTTGATTTGCAGGCAGAAGGCTCTAGATAGTCTGACAGATGCTGCCACCTGTCGATGAGTTTCGAGAAATCATTTTTAACAAAAAAGAATTCTCGCTGACCGAATTCAACGGCAGTGAAGCGGACACAATTCTGACATTGCCTCCCGAGAATTAAACTTCAACCCTTCAATTAGTCTGCTCACCGAATCGGAATCATCTATGCATGCATGCTTTTTATCAAAAGGGAAAAAGTTTTTTCATTTTAGACCCACTGCATAGTTTCAGTGTAGAGGTGCACACTGACTCACTGGTAGGACGGATTGAATCCGTCCCTTTTGTTGTTGTTATTTTGCCACCGTAAGGTGGATCCGTTACAATGATCCGAGTGGTATGCTTCGATGGTTGCCACCGACCGGATGTGGACAGTAGTAGTTGCTAACTAATTAGTGAGGCTGATTATGCTCCGGCACAGCAACAGCAGCAGCCGCCCAGTGTGTCGCACACGTGTGCTCTGCATTGACACAGCATTGATCAGAGAAGTGCCCCTTCCTTCCTTCATTCAGCAGTGGCCAGCAGTGTTCGAGTTGGCTGGTGACCGAGTCCGGTTAACCTATTTCGGTGGTGTCTTCTTGCTGAGCCTCTTCTCTAATCGAGTTAGCCGCTCTCTCTCTCTCTCTCTCTCTCTCTCTCTCTCTCTCTCTCTCTCTCNTCTCTCTCTCTCTCTCTCTCTCTCTCTCTAGTTCTCCCTCTGCCCCTTCTTGACGCCATTGGCCATTCAATATAGCCCAGTCCGAAGGGAGTGAAAGAGAGCGAGCGACACCGGATAAAGTGGCAAACAAATCGATCTCTGATTACCATGACGATAGTGTTGGACGCCGCCGCCGCCGCCGCCGCCGAGTACAGCTCCGAAGCGTGTTCTCCGGCAGTGCTTGCTCGTCTATAGACTTGGAGTTGGAGACTATTCGAAGTAGCAGAGTGTGTGCACAGCATTGCCAGCTGGGCGCCGGCTCTCCATTGCCAAACTGCTGGTGGTGCGATGTGGAAGGGGAAGAACAGGGCTGAGACAGTGCTGCTGCTGCTACTCAGCACGCAATGATGATGATGGTGATGACTCCTGCGCAAGTGAAGACACACTAATGGAACCGAATAAGAGAGAAAGAGAGAGAGAGACTGGCAGAGACACCGGCTGAATGGAACACTGTGTGAGTGCCTGCTTCAATTGCAGCAGTGGGACCAGCGGAAACCTCTCCTATCCTCCTCTGTGCCAGCGGCTACGGACGCAATAACTGCCACCGAGGCAGCTGTCGCTGACTGGTACTCTTCCGAGCAGCATACACAAACAGAGAGAGAGAGAAAGGGAGAGAGAACTCTGCTGACGCCAATGCTGGAACTGGTGCTGGTGCTGCTGAGTCATATAGCTGCATTCGGGATGACATCACCTACGTACAGCAGTGGGGAACATGAGCAGTAGACCGTAGTAGGCAGGGAGCACAGAGTTGTAGTGCACAGCCTTTGGTCCTAGCGCTCTTAGCGGGCACCGCTAGGCCAACTGGCAACTTTCCTCAGAGAAGAGAAATATCGTGGCGTATATAGAGAGAGGACTGCGCGGTCGTACCCGATCGGGCTGGTAGGTAGATGACGGTTCCACTGCTGACGCTCTCTCTTTCTGCACACTCTCACTCTGACACTGTACAGCACAGCATTTCTCCTTGTGGAGACACACTGAGTGTATGTGTGTGTGTGTGTGTGTCTGCCAGCCAGCGATAACCCCGATACCACTGGCCACTGCCGCTGTCGTACCACCACTGCTGTACCATTTCGGGCAAGTCTCTCTGACGACAGTCGATGCTGCTGCTGATGCTGCTGATGCTGCTGATGTTGCCGATGTTCCAAGTGTACGAGGACCGCTGCTGCTCGAGGCTGGCTGGCTCCACTAACTGACTTCCACTGGATGGATACAAGCACCAGCACTAGAAACCAGAAGCAGCTGCAACATCATCATCACCACCACTGAGCATCATCGAGCATCGTAGTCGACTTGTGTATGTGCTTGTTTGGTGAGAACCGCCTGAGAACCTCGTTGCCCACCGACCGACGAGGACAAGCAGTTCAAGTAGCGCTTCAGCAGCTCTGAAGCGGAGGGCCCCAGTGCAGCGCACAATGTCACCACTTGGCCTCGCATCACCTGCCTGCCTCGCCTGCTAGTATCCTCCTCCTCCTACTACGACTACCTCCACTTCTCCTGTCGACCATCTGTGCCACCACCACCACATCTGCACTTAGGTTGTGTGTGTGTAAATCTTTAGGCTTCCTTTTCGGTTGATTGAATTGCAGTTTCTAGTAGTGCTGTTTTCTACACCGCCATTCTCATCACCATCAATTCGTCCAGTATTTAAGTGACCATCATCATTACTCCTACTTTTGAATCTGTTCTCATCTTTTGAATTAAGTTGTTCCGTTTTCATCTATAGGTGAGTAATATATCAATAGTTGTTCTCTTTAGTAGATTTTGACAGGTAGCTGCTGCTCATGAAACAGCTGTTTACAGTGGTCAGTTCACTACTGTATCTGTGAGCTAGAGCTCTTTTTTGCCTTTCCTTTTTCTCTTTTGTAAGATTCCCTGCTGAACATTGAGACGCGCATTGACACCTCTCTCAGGGAACATTCCACAAAGTTGACCTTTTCCACTTCCATTTAGTGTGCATAAAAGCGTGCAGGTGAAGAAGACAGATGACTCCGGTCTACTGACTTTTTCTTTTTTCCCTTTCTGGCTGCCGATCACACAATAGGCACACAGGTTCGTCTCCGATGAATTAGACAAACAGACACACAGGCGTGCACACACACACACACACACACACATTTGCACAAACACCGGGGGAAAAGATAGTGAGAACTGGAGAGTGAGCTGCTCGTGAAAACCAGTGAGCACTGATAAAGTGTCAATATTTGCCCACCGAGGAAAAAGAAGAGGCCTGTTGCCAAGTGCAGTGGTGCTGGTGCTGGTGGTGACAGCCACCGTGGCACCAGAAGGCACTTTTTTGTTCTCTTCCCCGAAAGGACGAGAAGAAGTAGTGCTGTACTGCCTTTTCACACCTACGGTAGCATCTGAAGGCTTTGCCATCTCAAAGGAGTGCCAGTAGTACTCTTTTTTACACACACTCACGTACAGCAGGATCCGAAAGGAGTAAAGTGCGAGTGGTCTGCCTGCTGTGCCTTCTCTTTCCTTCCCTTGCTACCACTCATTGCGCTAATTGATGGCTGGTCCACTGGCTATGACCACCACCACCACCAGCAACACCGGAATGCGGCCTTTCGCTACAACTTTTCGCTTGCCCTCTGTGCCCCTCTCACTTTTCCACCACTGGTGTCGGTGTTGTTATTGCTGCTGCTCATCATCATCATCATCATCATCATTCTCGACATCTTTCACACTGTTCTGCTGTGTGTCCACTCTCTCTCTCTCTTTCTTTCCTTCTATTTATTTCTAAACACATGCACAGGACACCCAGCGACTCACTCAGTTTTGGCATGAAGTGAAGCGGATCGCCAGTCCAATTAGTGACGGTCTTCGCCTTACTGAGAACGAAAGCGAAGGGGGGAAATACTCTGCATATGAGAGTTGTGTTGTGTTCCTCCAAGTGCGTAGCGGTGCCCCAGCACCGACAGCACAGGCACAGCAAACTGACATCGCATGCAGTCTTACACACTCTCACTACCTCTTGCCCTCTTGCCGCCGCTCTTCCTTCCAATCTCTCAATCTGCTGGCAATCTCGCCAACATATGGCTTATGCAACATTTATTAGCTTCACTTTTTTGACTGCACTTTAGTGGCGCCGTACACTAAGTGGGCGCTCACCGCTGCTGCCGTGTACGACTCTCTGATGGGGCCGAACACACACGCTGAGAATGCTGGCTTCGCGGCAGCGCTTTTCTCTCTTCTTACTTACTTCGGTGCTTTGTTTTCCCTTGCCTAGTCTCGCGCGCGCCTTAATCCAAAGTAAATTGCCTGGAAAACTGCCAATTGACAGGACTTTCTTCGTTTGACAGACTGAACGGAGGCGGCAGGTGGCAGACAGCAGGTAGACAGCAAGTAGGCCGTGAGAGTTTGTTTTTGCTTTTTTCCTGCCAACTACTGCTAAGACCCTACGGAATAGGCTGCCGATTTTTTCCGTCAGCTAGAAAAATGAAAAGCCACTACTTTGCCACTCTATTGACACTCTATTTCCGCTTTACTAACTCTCTTTATCAACTGTTTATCTGACACAGGCGGTGTGTGTGTTTACCGTTGACCACAAACGAACAACAGCTAATGCTGCTGCGGTTTTCGGTGTTGTTGTTGTTATTGCTGCCTATCCCTGCTGACATTTCCTGAACTGGTGACACTGCGGCACTGCCGTTTTCAAGCGGACAGAGGAGTATATAACGCAAGCCGCACTTACCAGCCACATCACCATTACCACCGCTACCATCGGCTACTCTTCTTCCTCCTCCGCACTATTGCTCGTCGTTTGAGAAAAAGAGAGAAACACACAAGCACCAATTCCAGCTTGTTTTTCCCAAACTTTCACTCCCACGCTCGCCCACACATACACTCACTTTCACTTACTCATTCAGACAGACAGATACACAGCAAGAGCCGTTGCCAAGATGCCGCCGTACAACCTACTGAATCCGCACTTCTCCAATGCACTTCTCTTCGACCGAATGTTCTCACGCTCGGCCAGATCGAATGGCACCGCCCTCCTGCGCCAGATCCGCGCCGGCATGGCCGAGGTGGTGGCCAATGCGGGGGGCACTGCCGAGGAGAAAGAGTCACAGCTGGCCTCCACGATGAGCCCCAGCGAAGCGGCCCACCGCCTGGGAGCGTCTAAGGAGCCGTCAGCTGCTGTTGCTGCCAATCTGATGCGCGGCCGAGTGGAGAACTCCGACGGCGAGTCCGAGCCGGCCAGCGGCACACTGCGCAATGTGATCAGCTCCACCATTAGCAGCCTGGTGGAGAGCACCAAGGCGGAGGTCACCTCACAGGCGCCCAACTTCTTCGAGAAGGTGGAGCAGCAGGGCGAGGACATGATGAAGAAGGTGTCGAAGGAGACCAGCATCCCCTTCATCGTCATCTTCATGATCTTCCTCCTCATTGTGGGCATCTTCGCGCTCGTCTTCTTCTGCTGTCTCCAGCGATGGTGGCGCAAGTTCCGCGGCAAGGAGGGCGGCAAGGGCTTCATGGGCGGCAAGGTCGACCTCAAGTCGGTGCAGCTGCTCGGACAGACGTACAAGGAGAAGGTGCAGCCAGACATGGAGGAGCTGACCAAGGACATGGAGCAGAATGAGGCCGGCAAGGAGGACACCAAGGAGGAGGTGAAGCTGGGCAGACTGCAGTTCAAGATAGACTACGATTTTAATCAGTCTCAGGTATTTATTTTTTGTTTGATTTTTCTCCCTCTTGATGACTTATCACTTTTTTAACTTTCCAGCTTGGTGTTGGAGTTCTTCAAGCAGAGGACCTGCCTGGTCTTGACATGTCAGGAACAAGTGATCCCTATGTTAAGGTATCCTAAGAGTTTTAGTGGTGTTGTTGTTTAGTAAATTACAATTCATTTCCATGTTCAGGTCTACTTACTGCCGGACAAGAAAAAGAAGTTTGAAACTAAAGTGCACCGCAAGACACTAAATCCAGTGTTCAATGAAACTTTCAACTTCAAGGTTCCCTATGCGGAAATCACCACCAAAACACTGGTGTTTGCAGTCTATGACTTTGACAGGTGACTTTGATTAAATTGGATTTGCATAACTGGTTTTGCATAAAGTATATTTCTAACACATTTTTTGTGCAGATTCTCAAAGCACGATCAAATTGGTGAGGTGAAGATTCCACTGAACCAGATCGATTTGGCGCAAACAATCGAAGAGTGGCGCGATTTGACCAGCGTGGAAGACGCCCAAGGACAGGTAAACAGTCATGCCAATCTGATTTGTGCAGTCTCCAAGTGCAGTTTATTGTCAAGTCAAAAACGATCTTTGCCATTAGCTTTTTATTTTTCTTTCCATCTATCTCCTTAACTCCAAATTCTTATGTTTATAGTTAACATTATTTTATTTTCTAAAATGTTCTAACCTGCCACAAAGCAAAACTGGCACGTGCAAGCATGCAAGCCGGCCGAATACTATGCTAAAAATGGCCGCTTGATCCTTATAAAGAAATCCTATTTAACGCATAATGCAGTCTCAATGCAAATTGAAAATGAATTATTATTTTTTGTTATTTTTTGTTCTACATTTTTTATTATTCCCATAATATTTTTAGTATGATTCAACCACATTTCCTTACTACCACTGACACTTGAGCATCAAGCTGCTAATGCTCTTTAAAAGTCTAAATATTTTTTTTGACTTTTGCTCCACTAAATTAGGCTTAGCTGATAATGAATTTAATAATGAGGTCAATAATTTGCAGTAAACTCCTGATCAAAATCCTACAGTAAAAAGTTTGTGCATGCGATAGAGTCTAATGTAACTAGAACAGTTGCGAGTTCACTTGCAAGCGCTTCTTCTTTTGACCTTTCTTTGCATCGTTTGCATTTTGTCAATGCCCGAAAATTGTTTGCCGTGTTTTGCCGCATGATTTTTTAGCTGATTGATTGACTGTCCATTGCCTGGGCTTGCGTGAATCTTCTCCGTCCCCTCCCCTTTTCCCTGCATTTTTGGCTTTTGTCGTCATCTACCTCCCTCCTTCGCCCTCTTCTTCCTGCCATTTTTTAAGCTAGAANGTAAAAAGTTTGTGCATGCGATAGAGTCTAATGTAACTAGAACAGTTGCGAGTTCACTTGCAAGCGCTTCTTCTTTTGACCTTTCTTTGCATCGTTTGCATTTTGTCAATGCCCGAAAATTGTTTGCCGTGTTTTGCCGCATGATTTTTTAGCTGATTGATTGACTGTCCATTGCCTGGGCTTGCGTGAATCTTCTCTGCCCTCCCTCCCCTTTTGCCTGCATTTTTGGTTTTTGCCATCATCTATTTCCCTCCTCCGCCTTCTTCTTCCCGCCATTTTCTTTAAGCTAGAACTAACCCATTTTACTTCATTCCACTTTCCCTCTACCTAATAACGTTAATCAACTCTTTCTCTTCAAATCGCTCAACTTTCTTCTGATTCAATCAACTTTAAACTCTTCACTTGTCAAACTAATAAACTGTTTAATGTGTCTCTGGCCATCGTCTCTTGGTAAGTATCAACTAACCAAGCCATCCTACCAAACCAAACCAAACCAAAACAAACACCCACAGCCATGCTTAAACTCGTTTTCTCTATTTTTACCGCTTTACTGCTATTCAATTTGCGCTTACCAAACCATTGCACTGCCACTGCAGCCTACCTGGCAGAATGCACCTGTTTTCCTTTTGACTATTGATCAAAGTGTCCCACTGTGACTGACTGACTGACTGGCTGACGGCTGCCAACTGATCTGATCAGTTAGCACCCGGTCAGACAGCACAGCCAGAGTGTGTGTCTTTCAATCTGTTTCGTTTTGTGTGATTCTCTCTGTGTGCTNCCACTGCAGCCTACCTGGCAGAATGCACCTGTTTTCCTTTTGACTATTGATCAAAGTGTCCCACTGTGACTGACTGACTGACTGGCTGACGGCTGCCAACTGATCTGATCAGTTAGCACCCGGTCAGACAGCACAGCCAGAGTGTGTGTCTTTCAATCTGTTTCGTTTTGTGTGATTCTCTCTGTGTGCTGACAGTCTCTTTGATCTTTACTACTTTTAACTGATTTTTTGCACCAGCACTGTGTGTGTTCACGCGTTCAGTAGTTGCGATTTACCATTATATCTTTTTCTACTGTTTCATACGAATCAGACCATTTTTCTATTTCAAAAGGGTTTTTGTGCTTTCTGTTTGAAAGCAACTGACCAAAACAGGGATTGCAACAAAAGCAGAGAACTTACTGCAGTTGTTTGCACAAAATTAAGTAAGCAACGCGTATACGAAGTCCTAACCATGTTCTGCGAGTTTTGACTAGGAATCAAGGAGCTAATCTGTGCAGCGAAATCACTTCTTCCTCCTCTTCTTCCTTTTTCTTCCCTTCCTCTACCGCTCAACTTGCAACTTTCAGACCTCATTTCAATGCCTCTTTTGCTTTATCTCCTTTTTGTACAACAGGAAAATAAGCTGGGCGATATTTGCTTTTCACTGCGTTACGTTCCCACCGCCGGCAAGCTGACAGTGGTCGTCCTCGAGGCAAAGAACCTCAAGAAGATGGACGTCGGCGGTCTCAGTGATCCATACGTAAAGATTGCCTTAATGCAAAATGGTACGTGCCTTTTGATCAGCATAATCATTACAGTTTTAACAAAGTAATAACTTTATAGGCAAACGACTGAAGAAGAAAAAGACGTCGATCAAAAAGTGCACATTGAATCCCTACTACAACGAGTCCTTCACCTTTGAGATACCATTCGAGCAGATCCAGAAGGTCGTACTGGTGGTCACTGTCGTTGACTACGATCGAATCGGTACTTCAGAACCGATCGGAAAGGTATGCTTTACCTATTCTACTTTTGAAAATGTTTGCTCACTTCGGCTACTTTTCATTGAAATCATTAGGTCGTACTTGGCTGCAACGCATCAGGAACCGAACTGCGCCATTGGATGGACATGCTTGCCTCGCCGCGAAGACCCATTGCTCAATGGCACTCGCTGAAGGACCCTGAGGACGGTGGTGGAAAGGACAACTAAAAAAGATACACACATCTTGTTGGTCTTCACATTTGCAGTCATTTCACCTCTTCACCTTCAAGTTTTACCAGGCAGAACATTCCCCAACAGCTGGTGGGCAGTTGACAAAAACAATGCCAAAACAGGGCAAGCCCACCTGCAGTTGGCCACTCACCGACGCCTCTATTTATTCCCATTCAACCATTTACGCATTCTTCCTTCATCTTCTTTGTCTTCGTCTTCTTCTGCAAACTTCATCAACACTGGTCTGACACTGATGATTGGATCAACATTCCACAGCACATTCGATAGGCTTTGCCTCGGATATCCTCTACCGTGTTTGGCGTCTTTCTTTTGTTTTTTTTCAAACACCTCTTTCACCACATTGTACATAGTTTGCCAAGAACTCTTTGCTCTAGCTCTAGCTTCACCTCCTCACTCTCTTCCAGCGTTCCTTCTTCCGCTTTTTGGCCGATCGCCTAGCGATCAGTGTTTAATGGATTACATCTGATTACAAGCTGATGAGTGCTGCTCTCTTCTGCACCACACAGAGAATGCCCGAACCCTGGCCACAGTTGATCAGTCATTGCTCCTTGGTGAGCGTTCATTCGTAATATCATTTCTGATGTGATTCACTTTCCTTATATTCCTTCCTCAAACATTCCTCGCCCAGCTCATCAGCTTATTTGCTTTCCCATTACTCTCGTTGTTGTGGCTAGTGAAGTCAAGCAATTTGATGACAGTGTCCTGTACATTACGATGGCCAATATAGCCAAACATACACACACACACATTCACATGCCTTCTTCTAGCGTTGAAGCTGAAGAGCACTTATTTTTTCAATAGAGGAGGAAATTCCGATTTAGGCTCAAGGCCACTTCAACACACCATTCAAACACACAGTCAAACACTTTACAAACAAACCACTTACACCGGTAACACAATTATCGAATCCACTTTGAGCAAGCAAGCTCCCACTTCAAACCGTAGAAGCTATCTTTATGAAAAAGAGAAAGTTCAAGTTGCCCTCATAAGCGTAAGCGGTTCTGAACTTTGAGTGGTGTTGAAAGTCAAACATCAGTTATTAACGAGAGCAGTAAAGACGAGTAAACCACATTTTCCGCCTCTTTTAATTCTTGGCAAAAACAAGTAGTAATCAGATTTCATCCTCTTTTCATATCGTTACCTTTTTTGTTTCCTTCATTTTTGTAAACTCCTCTTCTTTTACTTTTATTTCTCCCATTGCCTCTTCAACTCGGTCACTTGGCCCAACAAAAGTGATCAGCTCTTTTTATTTTCTTCTTTTTTGCTCGATTACACCCAACCATGCTACATCAAACAACGACACTTTTGCTCTCAGTCAGTTTCACCCTATTTTGTATTATACCCTCTCTTTTACACGCCCCAGCTGCAGACACAGGTTGCAACAACAACAACAACAACAACCATTAAAACATTCCCACACACTCACACACACACCTACACAAGCAGAAGAAGTGCTTTGGTCACCGAAGCCAGCACTCTCAGCCCTTTTTCCCACCTTTTCCCCATTCCCTTCTTGATCTTCGGTCGTGAATTGAACATGTCGTGTGCCATAACACTACTTCTCTTCCAACTAGTGAACACTCGCAAATCGAGTTCGCTACCAGCAGTTCTTTACTAAAAGAAAATGTAGTCATGCAGACACTTTTGTAGGACCCAGAAGTAGACACACACACACACACACACTTTCAGAAGTAGCAGTCACTCTTGCAAGAACTCCACTTCACTTCACTCATTCCATTCAACTCGGGCCGACACTATTACTCTCTTTTTCTTCTTCTTCTTTAATTCAATTCAAATTGAGCTTTTGTTTTGTTTTTCCCATTTGACTAATTAATCTAAGTATTTGTTGACCCAAATCCAAACCTACGTGTGACTCTCTTTTCCTTTTCTCTTCCTTCCTTGCTTGAACCCACACTACTCCTTATTCAAACAGAGCCTGAAAAGACATCTTCCCTCAGTAGTGACTCTGTTCCTTTGCACTTTGCATACACTTTCCTCTTCTTCCTTCTTTTCCTCTTTCATTCAACCCATTCTCCAAACAGCTAACCATTAACAACAAAAATTGGCTTTACTGACCTTTCTCACCCGAGTGTTGCATCGGATAATTTATTTTTGGATTGTACAAAGAAAAATACTTGCTGTTGTGAACATGTAACACAAACACATACACACNTTGTCTAATTAATCTAAGTATTTGTTGACCCAAATCCAAACCTACGTGTGACTCTCTTTTCCTTTTCTCTTCCTTCCTTGCTTGAACCCACACTACTCCTTATTCAAACAGAGCCTGAAAA